CATAGCAAAAGCAAATAGCCCAATTTTAAGAGTACAAAAAAAAAAAAAAAGGTCATGCGTATCCTAAAAAGTATAAAACACATTCCTATTAGAAAAAAAAAAAGATGGTAACAATTAAAGGAATTATTTTCAAAGGAACACGATAAATTTTTACACGCAGACACGTAAACATATGTATTATGTGAATAAATAAAAGTGTAAATGGAAATCGGGCAAAAGCAACCTGACACAATTATACCTTTGATTTACATCCAATCACGACTCCTTCGATACATTTAAGTAAACAAAATCGCCAATCAGGTGTGAAATTTAATAACCTTAATGTTTACTTGTGTATAACTCTTGTGATACGTCCGGAATAAGATAATTTCAACTTTAAAATTGTCAAGTTTTAGATCAAACATGTAGAACGAAAGTCTAATTTTGGATAGGCTTTGAAACAACGGAAGGAAATATTATTGGATTAATAAAGTATTTCTAATAAAAAAAAAAACATTTGGTTTATATAATCGACTATTTGTAATATTTTTTTATAATAGAAAATAGGAAGGTTGCAATAGGATTAATTGCAATAGGATAGTTGCAATGGTTGCAATTGGGATAGATGGGAAAGCAAAGAAAACCAAAAAAAGAGCATAGAAAGTAATAAAACGGAAAAAGGAACGGGGAATACCTAAAAGAGGAATAGTAGTAGTACACCTAATCATTCAAGACACGTTGCATGCACTTACGGTTATGCACAGCCGAAAATTTCCAAGAAATCTTTTAAAAATCTTTTAAAAGACTAGAAAGAAAAAGTGTGTTAACAATAATAACAAGTATTTCACATTATCACATATAAACGATAATATTTAAGCCAAATTAACATAGATAGATCGACTTTTTTTTTTTTTTTTCAAGCCTTAATTATAAATAAGTAAACGGTAAGTAGATACTATTTACGTACGTTAAGGATAGTAGGTACGTACGTAAGTACAATATATCAGATATGGGATGTATCTTATATAATTTATGGAACGATTGGCGCATCATAAAATCACACAAAAACCGCTCACAAACAAAAATGAGGCGAAGGCACTTAACGGAGGTAAGCAGGAACCATACGGAGGTGGGAATTATCATAAGAAGGGCGGACACAAAAAAAACAATAATAAAATAATAATAAAATAATGATACGTAATAATAATAATAATAATAATAAAAGATGATAATAATAACTATTAATAAAAATAAATAATAATAATAATAATAATAATAATAGTAACCTTGTGATGATACTGAATGATAGCTGAATGATAACTGAATGATACTGAATGATATTGAATGATATTGAATGATACTGAATGATACTGAAAGTTAATTGACAGGTCAGAACAACAGAATGGACGAACTAAGAGTGAAGGTGCAGCGCGCCATGAATATCATTCCATCAATGTAGGTCATGTTACCAAGTTACTGAAGTTAGATTATATATTTAGTATCAAAGATTAATACGGCTGTTGATTAACATTAATGACGATATGAGTTTCAAAATTAAATTCACGTACTGCGGCATGAAGCATGAGCATGAAACAATAATATCATATGCGGAATCCCCATTGACGTGACGCCCCAACAACAAAATAAATCAACGAGGAGAAAAAAAAAATTTTTTTTTATTTTTTTTTTAATTGACAAGCAATCACGTAAATTAAATGTAAAGATACCGATAGGGAATAGGACGAATTAAGATATTTTTCATTTATTGGGTAAATCATACCGATTAAAAAGATGTTTGAGATATAGATATACTTGAGATATGCTTGAGATATGCTGGAGATATGCTTGAGATGAGATGATGACGGAACCTTGAGCCAAAAAAGAGATCTCGAACCGTGGTTGGGGGACGGATACGCCAAATCAACAAAAATAAAATACCGGTAGAAAACAATCAATCATATTATAGTATTTTATAGTATTAATCATATTCTAATCATATTTTAATCATACACAATTCACATTTTTTTTAAAAAATCTTTTTTGACACGATACTATTTGCTATTTCTGGTGGCGCAGAACAAAACATACACACGCAATCACACACAACATAAAACCAATATAATTCATACTCAAACATACAGAAATATATCACGGACTAATTATGTAATTTTTAAGTCACAAAAACAACAAAAGGATAAAAAAAAAAAAGGAAAGAAAGAAAGAAAAGGATAAACACAAAAAAAATAATAATAATAAAAAAAAATAAAAGATGAATGAAATAAAGAATAAAGTAGTAAATAAAGTAGTAAATAAAGACAGGGATAGGTAACAAACCCGGTACCAGTGTCAGTCGATACCGATGCAGTGAAAATTTTAAATATGTGGGACATAATATAAAGTTTAGAATAAGAAGATGAAAGATATTAGATTTGTATGGGTAACACAAAAACATCAACGAATTACAGAATTAGTATAAAGGATGATATGATAAATTTCATTTAGTAGAAGATACCTCATCTGTTTATATTATGCAGTTTGTTTAATCGTATTATGTACTTAGAGAAAGACATCGTTAGACAAAGGCAGGCTTTTTTTTTTTTTTTTATCTAATTCAATCATACTATTTGATTTTCACATATAAGCAAGGAATAAGGTAAGTGTAACTTTCCTAACTTGGTAAGAAAAAAAAATTCAATCGGAACATCAAAAATCACTTATAGTTGATTATTATAGTAGAATTATTTTTTTAAATATTGTTATTTATTCTAGAATGGCTAATCACAAGACAGATGATAGGTGTATCATTCTGTGTGAAAGTTTTTTTTGTACAATAGAAAGATATGTATGAGATAATAAAAATGTCAAATTTGATTGGATGTGATGGATTTTTGAATTGTTAAAATGTATAAGATGTGGAGAATTGTTAATTCTTGGTCAACACGTATCAACTTTATAAAAACATTAAATAGAAATTAAGCTAATAAGGAAATCGCGAATGGGTACACTATGTGTCATATGTAAATTCCGTCAAGCGTGTCAAACAATTAGAAAACCAAAAAGGAGTATGTGAATGTGTGAAGTATGTGATGAATAACTATGTTTTAAAAAAATGTGTATATTGATTGAATGTGTGTATGTTGAATGTACGGTGTGTGGTGAATACAGAATACAGTCTACAGACAGTCTACAGACAGTCTACAGACAGTCTACAGACAGTCTACAGCAGTCTATAGACTACAGACTACAGACTACAGATAGTGAATACAGATTATACACATTATATATAGATTATACAGATTGTGTAGATTGTATTCGCCTTCGAATTTAGATGCGGCTGCGCGTGGAAATCTAAAGAATGATAAAGAACGATTGGCCGATTCTTTTTATAATCATCTAATAATCGTCATCATGAACTTGTACTATTACTATTTCTGCCGAATGTTGCTGAGTGCCCCGTCAATGTCATCAGCCTTATGATATTTTTATGATAATTGATATTTATGATATTTATGATATTATGATATTTTATGATACTTAAGATACTTAAGATATAATAATTATATAAACATGAAGTAAACATGAACCTTAAAAAAGAAGCACGCAAGAAACATGAAATAAACGTGAAATAAACAAGGCATACCTTTTTTATTTTTTTAATAACAGATAAAAGTCAAGAAATTCAAGAAATTCAAGAATTACAAAGAACAAGAAAAATTTTTCATCGACAAAAAAGTTATTAATCTGTTAACTAAATTCATAAAACTATTAAAACTGGTTTTCTATTTTTTCTATTGTTTTTTTTTTTATACAACCGACACCCGACATCCGATGGTCCGACAATAAACACATTTTATAATACGGCGAAACACGGCGAAACACTAAACACTAAAGAAAGTATTTATAATTATTCTTTTTGTTTACTTTTTAACTCGTATTAATATCAACGTCAATATGAAATTATAATCTACATCATTCCACAAAAATCTATTGAGTGAGTCATCATCTACGATATCTTTAATGAATACTACTGTATCTGTATTCTGTATTTTGTATTGATATATAAAGTAAAATAAACTTTCTTTTTATATTAAAACCGGTTTTGAGTTAGTATAAAAAAGTATAATTATTAAGACATCCCATCATTTACATTTATATCATTCTTCCTATCAGCATTTTAGTATTATTATTATAAATAATATGTACGGCATTCCATTTTTATGTGTGTAATAGTTAAAAAAAGATACACGAGACATATATTATTTACTATAATTTTCTATATAATAAATATTCTATATAATATTTACATATATATATATATATACTGTATCTGTGTCTGTATCTGTATATGTGTACAAATACACATATATATATATATAAATATATACAAATATATATACACATATAAAATATATAAAGATATACATATATATATACGTATATTATAATAATAATTATATATATTATAATATTATTATTATATTATCATATGTATTTATTTTATAATATATCATTTTTATTTTTTATATGCTTTTAAACTATAAATCGATCAACAACGTTCTTCAATTGTATCAATATAAATTGCTTCAAAGGTCACAAATAAATATCCGACAGATACTTACTTCAGATATTTATTTCAAATACTTACTTCATATACTTATTTCAACCATACATCTCCCCCACCTTTTTTAAACTAAGATCACATAATATATATAAAAAAAAAAAAAAAAAAAAAGAGTGATTGACTTGGTGAAAAAAACCTTATAAACCGCCAAATTTTTTGGTCTTTCCATCACAACAAAAAAAAAAAAAAAATTATATATATATATAAATTTTTTTCTTGCTTCTTTTTTTGAAGAGACAAGCGGCTTATATAACTTTCGGCAGTTTAGCAATTTTCTTCTTTTATAAAATAATTGAAAAACTTTTTGAACAATTTTTTACATTGAAATTTATATTTCTTGTAAAAAATTAAGCGCGGTAAACTTTCACACGCCATTTATTTCATTAATTATAAAAAAATTATGTATTTAACCACCACGCTTGCGTCTCTACCCGCTACTTCTTCGAATTTCTCTTCATTACAAACCATAAATTTACAGCGAAAACCGTTACCGCCTCTACCAAATAATTTACAACAAACTGATCAATTTTCTTCTCAAAAATCTACTTCAATGCAATTTTATTCTCAAAACAATGTTACTACAACAACTACTACTACATCAACGACAATAATACATGATTCTTCGTCGTTAGAACAGGCCCTTCCAGAACGCGTTTCGGATTTCGCAGCTCATATGACTTGTTTCTTGTGGTTTGGTGATTATATCATGGATTCTTCTTCGATAATACCTCCCCCAGGTGGGAATGGTCATAGAAGGTTTCCTGATTTTAAACCTAGAGACGCGTTCAAGAAATTTTGTCGTGATGTTATTTCGGCCACTCAAGTCTCGCGATCGGTCATTCACTTATCGTTATTATATATTCATAGAATGAAGATAAATAATCCTGCGATTAAAGGTCAAAATGGTTCTGAATATAGAACTTTTACTGTGGCTTTAATGTTGGCAAATAAATTTTTGGACGACAATACTTATACCAATAAAACATGGTCTGAAGTAACTAATATACCTGTATCTGAGATAAATACTATGGAAATGGAATTTTTGGGTTCTTTGAATTATCAATTATATGTTTCAGAGAAACAATATTTTGATTGGGTTCAAAATTTATCTAATTACTTTCGAATTGGTGAAAATAACCTTCATGACGATGATAATTCTTCTCCTGATGGTACAATTTCTATTTCTCAACAACAACAATCTTCTCAGCAACAACAACAACAACAGTATATTCCTGTTCAACATCAACAAATACTTGTTCCTGTTCAATCAATGGCAACTGGTTTTAAACGGTCAGCCGAGCAAGCTTTTGTAGATGGAATGATGGTTTCACCTCCAAAAAGAGCTAATGTTTATCCTGTATATTCAGTTCAACCATCTCAACAACAATCTCAACAAGTTTATGCTCAAACTATAGCATATCCGACTCCTCCATCCAGTGCTTCAAGTTCTCGACGAGTTTCCGCCTATTACAATATACCGACAACTTCTTCAAATTCTTCTAACATGGTATATTCCAGTCATTCATCGCAACAATCATATGAAGTTAGACAAACTTATACCAATGTTACTGTTAGAAATACTCAACCTCAATATACCGTTATGGATCCAGTTGGTGTGTTCTATGCAACAAGGCGTGTTCAATCTAATCTTATCAATGCTCGGTCTGCTTCTTCAGGTTTCCCGGTAAATAATATATCATTTACAACAACCGTAGTATGATCTGATTGCAGGATTGAATATGATAAATTTAGTCGAATATATCTGAATATACTAGATAAAATATATATGATGGATGATGAATGTAGAGATTGAACGTGACAGAAATCTGAACAATAATTACTTTGCAAAAAAAAAAAAAAAAATTCATTTTTTTTTTTCGTGTTTATAGCTCAATTTCAATTGTAAAGGCGTTTATTAGATGGCGCAAATTTTTTCGTATACAAAGCTTTTTCTTGTATGTACAGTTTTTTTTTTCTTAGACATTTTTTTTTTCCTTTTTTTACTATTGCATTTGTATTGTAGTTTTAGCATATTTCCATTCTTTTTTTTTTCTTTTCTTTACATGGCAAACATCCATATACAACATATATACATAAACTTAGATTAGTAGTCATTTAATGGCGATAATTTTTGCGTTTAATGTTTAATACAACAAATTTTCGCAAAAAAAAAAAAGAAAAAAAAAAAAAAAAAAAAACGAAGCCATTAATTAGTTTTATTCAATTAGTATTTAGTACAGCTTTTATTAGTACTTTTTCGATAAATATAAATTTTTTTCTTATGCTTTTTTTAATCCATTTGACATGAGAAACCAACACCCCTAAGATATAAAAAAAATATATATATACATATATAAATACAGTATTTCCATATATTTTTTTATGGAGTCGTAAATTTTACACAATAAAGTTAAAAGAGAATCAAAAAACAAACTTTTTCTTACAAAAAAAAAACTTGAGTTTGAGTTTTCGAAAAAAGTATATATTAAGTAAATGAAGATGTCTAAACAGATTTTAGATTTCTAATAGATAATAGATTTGTTCTAATAGATTTGTTTCTAAGGGGCTAATAAATTCCCGATTGTACAAAACAAAATACAAAATTTCAAGTTTTTTCTACATACAAAGGGGATAAAATGGAGAAGAGGCGCGTGCTTACTATATAGAAAAGAAAAAAAGTTGGGGGTAAGTCATTTATTCATTCTCTATCATATTATCATATGTGGGTTTCGTGATTTAATTGATTGGTGAAAGGTAAAATTAGCTTGTCGAATCGTATGTACGAAGATCGAGAAAAAAAAACGAGATGTTTGCAGTGATATTCCAATTACATATTTTACATATTGGTTAGCATTAGACTTACATCATATAAACAAAAATATTGTAAATTAAGAATGATAAAGTACGCATATAAACCTTTTATGGATATCTTAAAAGGATTCGAGAACATGATCAGGTTTTTTTTACTACTACTTTTTTTAACAAAGAAAATTATAAAGGATGAACAACCAACTATTTTGACTGACTGTTTCTCGTACATATTGGAACGCGTCTTAAAGGTTAACCAAAAGTTTATAAAAAGTTTAGAAATCTGATGATCATTAACATTGCCGCAGCGATTGTTTACGTTTAGTCACCTGTAAATATATATAATATAGTATAAGTGAATGAAGTTGTATGCCAAGAATAAACGATTAAAAATTTTTTTTGATAATCAAATGAACCAATAATATTTCAAGTTATAACATCCAGTATAATTCATGTTTATTTTTGAAAGCCATCATAGGGTACGTAACGACAATGAATAGTACGTACGCCTGTCCTCGAAATGAATAAGAAGGAAAGCCAGTTTAGGATGCTTTTCATTGAAAGAAACATTACAATGATACACATACATCAGTACATACAAACCCGAAACACTTACTAACTCGCTATAACGGTTTTTTTTTTATTTTCACACATTTTCTCACATTTCCTTTTTTTATTTTTTCGGTCTTTGTTTTTTTTTTTTCATTCTGAATTTAACACGATCTACAAGATTCCTTTCTCGTTCAATATTATAAACGCTAAACCCGCAGCCAAATAGCCAACTAAACCAACTAGTAGCCAATTGTAGCCAATTGTAGTCAATTGGTAATCAATTATAAGTTTAATTATCGGTAAATTGGGAGGTCAATGAGTGTAAGTGTAATTCATTCAATGAAATTCAATGAGTAATCAAATTAGCCCGCCATTTTTATCCTAAGCCACTCGGTTTCACGCTGTTGAATTAATTTCCACAATGCAATTCTAATAATATCAAAATTTTTTTGAATTGTAATGGTAAAAAGTAAGTAGGACAATGTATATAAATTTTATTTATAATTACATCAAGACACATTTCATTCTCGCATTCATAAGATTTTAAAGGCAATTTATACATTCCTTATCCGAGTCATCACCGAGTCAATACGGAATTTTGAAATAAAAAGTTCTCCTTTGATACTTTATCAGGTTAGTACGAAATTTAAACATGTTTTTTTTATATACAAAGTCTTATGAAAATAATACAAATTTAATTATTATTATTATTATTTTTTTTTTATTTTTATTTTTTATTTTTAATTTTTTTTTTATTATTAAGTATATACTAGATATCGGATACTAAAAATCAAGATTGCGCCCTTTGTTACACTAATGTTTTGTTTCCGAGATTTAAAAGTCGTGGAATGAGCTAAACCGTTCCTAATTTGAGAAAATGCTTTTGTTTGTGGCAAAGTACCGAATTTCCGCTTTCTCGGGCTTGCTTGTTACATGTCATACACATATTATATAATATAATACTGTAATATAATAAAGTAATATAATATATATCAAAATATACGTATATATATATCTATAATTTTTAATACATATATATACATATATATATATATTAAATAGATGAAGATCTATTTACGAGTTGATGGTACATTACCGGAATTGGAAAACCAGCAATATATTTTTTTCATTATTAATCTACAAAAGAGTTAAAAGAGGTCGAGATAAGTATGACGTAGAATTGCACGGGAATGATTTACGCATATATTAAAATAAGTAATTGGTGGAATCTTTTTACTGTATATGACTGTATCAAATTCTGACCAATTAGTATCTTTTATTATCTTCATTATCTTCATTGAGCGTTTAAATAATAATAATAATAACATAATAATGATGATAATGATAAAATATTTTGATAAAAATATTGTAATAATACACGATATAAACAAGAGACTAGATTTAATACTGTAATAGATGATTCTTGTTTCATTCATTGTATCATGAGACGAGGTTTTTTTTTTTACAATAGTTACATTGTGATTAAAAATAGTTTTATGTTTGAAATACTCATATAACTGATTTTCTATATACTACTTCAGAACTAATTCTAACTTTAGACTAACTTTTAGACTAACTTTGGGTAGTTTCAAGCCACATCATAACATACATAACATACATAACATACGATAGAATTATAACAATCGTTACGCCTGAAATTGATGCACATGAAGGTTGATGGCTTTCTTTTTGTTTCATCTAACACTAACACACACACACTAACACTAACATTAACGCTAACACACTAACGCTAACGCTAACACTAACGCTAACACTATAACATTAACTATAATTCTGCAAATAATAGAATTCAGGCTATCGCTACGTATGATGTCAAGCAAGCATAAATCAAATAAATCAAAGATTATTTTAGTAAATCACATGATAACAGAATAAATGAGGCGTGACCTTTTTTTTCATATTTGTAAACAATTTAAACAATTCGATGATACATTCGGAATCCTTGTTTATTGTAAAAAACAAAACCAATTGTTTTTTCGAAAAAGAAACCGGAAAAAAGTAAAGCATGACGTACAACCCTTGCATGATTATTATTGATTTTTTTTGGAAAGTATATTCTAAAAAAGAACCACGAGATTTCAATATTGCTACTGCGCATCGTTTTAGCTCATGGTTTCACCAATCATTTCAAATTCCGGTTTTATAACTAGATCTTTGATTAGATCTGTAACCATGATTTTCGACCGAAATACAGATACGCCGGCCGATAAAAAGATTTTCACATCTTTTAGAGCTCGTTTTAATCTTTCATATTAAAATTGAACGACTAAACAAATCACGATATTTACATTTAAATTTACATTTACATTTACATTTACATCTTACGCATATACAATATACAACAAATATTCAAAAAATATATTCAAAATATTCTTCAAAATATTATATACACTCGGTTACTTACGCACGCACGCCTTTCGTGTCTTATCTTTTTAGGATATAAAAAAAAATTTTTTTTCCTTTTGTTTAATATTCACCTTATACTGTTATAGCTGCAGGATCCCTTCCGGTTACACTCGTTTCGAAGCTAAAGTTATCCAATAGAGTTACATAATAAAAAAAAAGGAAGATCATTTTACAAAATGGCGTTATCATCGTTATCATACATCTTATTAACATGTGTTGCGCATTACATTTTTAGATTGTTAGATTGTCAGTCTTGTCCAAGGGAATTTGATCAAAGTTTACCTTTGAAATCTTAAGTTTTACATTAATCATAATATTTTGATACGAGTTTACAACGCCCTTTGTTATTACGACATTCTCTCCTTTTTAATCCTTTATTAGAGTTATGCGTCAATTGATAAAATGATAGAAATAATATTACATTATCTTATTATTCATCTTTTGACGGCGACATGGCGCTCTTAGGCTATATTGGCAAAAATTAATATGAATTATATTGTAATTGTTTACTTTTTCTGCAAGCATCACAAGCTTTTTCGTTGTCTTTTTAAATTTTATACCCATACACACGCACACGGCATCTCACAAAGATAGTAGATGGTTCCATATCAAGAATTTCTTTTTAACCCCTACACACTAAGCTAATTTTAAATCTGGTTTTTGTCCCACATCTCCTATGAAAAATTTCATTACCCCGCGTACTATCAAATATCTATCACAGCCACTTTTTTTTTTTTTTTTTATTTATCACCTTTTTTTTTTTTCTGATACAGTATTTTGACAAACACGAGGTCATGCCACGAGACTAAAAAAATTCACCCTTGGCTAATTTGATGTACTTACCATTATGTTACTATTGTCCTTTTTTTGTGTTTCTTATTGTTGTTTTTATCTCAACAAAGACGCAACAACAAATAATCCGACTTTCATTTA